CCAGAGTCTGGAGCCTGTTTCAGAGTCTGTGACTCCCTCTCTCTCTGACCCTCCCCTGCTCACGCTGTCTCTCTCTCTCTCCTAGAAATAAATAAACCATTAAAAAAAAAAAAGAATAGAGGCTTAGGGGAGGGGAATAATGAAGGTGGTATATGGGCTTTAGCTCCTCAGAGTGGGGAAGGAGTACTGGAAATCTTGTCAGGGTAAATTATTTGGCATCTTGTTTTATATAATAATAGAGAGATATACTTTTGATCATGAGTGCTGGGAAAGAAGCTGGAACGACTAGTGAAATGGAAAAGAATGGTAGACCTTCCAAATGAATAAAGGGAAGAAAGAAAAAGATAATATGATCAAATTTGTAAAATGAGGAAACTTTAAAAGCAAAAGCAGTAATAACAAATAAATAGTAAAAAATAAAGTAAGGTGGAAGAAGTAAAACAAGCATATTACTTGATGGTTACACTAAGTAGGAAGAGATTAAAGTATCTTATTAAATTACAGAAACACTAAGATTAGGTGAAATACAAAAAACAGTGCTAAACACTATTTTTAAGAAATACAGTTAAAAAATGATAAAGGCTGAAACAAAGGGATAAGAAAACACTAGGAAGAAAGTAGGTATGGCAACATTGATGTCAGATAAGTTGGAATAAGGTTAAAAGCATGAATGAAGATAGAAATAGGTAGCATGTGATAGTAAAAGATAACATTTATGAAAAACTGATGACAGTTATAGTCAAAAGGCACCAAACATTGTAGCTGCTAAATATCTGAGACAAATGTTATATAAATGCAAAGACAGTTTCATGAAAGTATACAATTATAGTTAAATTTTAAAACACTTTTCAGAATTAAGAGCCTATAGACAAAAAATAACAAGTACATAGAACTGAATGATGCAATTAATAAATCAATCAATTTAATATGTATTTCCTTCTAATCAAAATTTGCATTTTGTTATCTCCAAAATCAATCAAGTACTAGGCTACAAAGAGAGATTCATATAATTTTAAAATAGAAGTTTTACAGGCCATCTCTGCTTGTAATCTAATAAAACAAGATATAGAAAAATTTAAAATATCAAAAGATCCCAAGTGCTAGAAATTAAGCAATACATTCTTAAACAAATTTTGGACCTAAGAGAAATCAAAACTAAAATTACAAACTATTCAAAAACTGATTAAAGTAGAATACTTTATTCCAAAACCTACAGTACACAGCTATAGCTGTACTCAGGGGGCAATTAATAGCCTTAAAAATGCCTTTGTTGTTAAAGGAGAAAGATCTAAAGTGAAGAAACTTCCCATCAACTTTAAAACATTAGGATAAAAAGAAAATTTAAATAAATCATGGGAAAACAGGAAAAATAAATCAATAAAATAGAATACAAACCAAAATTGTAGAAAGGGCAAATGAATCTCAAACTGCTTCTTTGAAAAAGCCAATAAAATGGATGAACCCCTCACAAACTTGATTAGAGAAAAGAGAGAGCAAAATTTCATAAGATTGGAAAGAGAAAGGAGACAGAGCCATAGATACAGGACAGATTGAAATTATTGTATGAGAACATTGTGAGTAACACTATGGCAAAAATGTTTTAAATTTAAAGAAGATGCATTATTACCTAGCAAACAAACTCTTAAGTTTTGACTAAGAAGAACTAGAGAATTTGACTATGTCAGTTATCATAAATGGGACTGAAAGATGAGCTGAGATTGATCATTTAAAAATACAGTGGATGGGGCACGTGGGTGGCTCAGTCGGTAAAGCGTCCGACTTCGGCTCAGGTCATGATCTCACATTGTGGGTTCAAGCCCCGCATGGAGGTCTGTGCTGACAGCTAGCTCAGAGCCTGGAGCCTGTTTCAGAGTCTGTATCTCCCTCTCTCTCTGACCCTCCCCTGCTCACGCTGTCTCTCTGACTCTCAAAAAAAAAAAAAAAAATACAGCAGAACAACATTGTTTCATGGCTGACAGTGGAACTCTTCCATGAAGGAGTAGAGGAGATGGAAAAGCGGGGGTGGAGGGGGGATGATGAGATCAGAGAGAGGAGATGAGAAGATCTGAGGAGGGGATAGTGGAGAGAGAGAGAGGGGAATATGATTGGAACACGTCAGGACAGCACCTTCTCTACTGCCTCTTGGTGCCCAACATTATTCCTACTTCATGCCTGTTTATGTTCAGCCATATTTATGTCCAACTACCATTTGTGCACTCAAGAGCTGCTGCCTGGAGTTTAGGGTGATAGCAGCAAAGCAGCTGGTATGTGGACCCCAAATCTCTTCTCCTTCTCTCCTGGTGGCTCACTCCTGTGCAACCTCATGTTGGTGGTAGTGTCTCTGCTGTTAAGGCTCCTGCCCCTACTCAACCAGGGGGTCAGTGGGATGGGAAGGCACTGGTGAAGTCAGGACAAGGTCACTGCAGGGAATTCTTCAAACTCTCTACTACTATTTGGGCTACTTCAGAAGACATCTGGGCATCTGTTTAGGCCCATGGGCAGGGTGACCTGCATGGGGCTGACTTTTCTGAGAGGGGTGGGGAATTTTCATTTCTGCTCCACCCTTCTCCATGCTCATGAGAGAGACCCAGCATCTACCTGCCAGACTGGCTTAATAAGATTTGTTCTGCTCTGGTAGGAGCCTGTTTGACCACGTTTTTGGGAAATACCATTGATTTTCTGCCTCTTAACCCCAAAAGGTGTTGTTTTGAGGACACTTCATCACTCCTGGACAACATCTCTTGGCAAGAATTCAGTGATTCACAATACTTTGTCCAGACAGTTCTTTCTTATTTCAAATTAGTAGATGTTTTCCTATTTCTACATACATATCTGGCCATCCTGATCATAGTGTATTATAGAATTTCTGAGGCCCTCTGGTTTTTGCTTGTTGTACTTTTTCCTTTTCCTGAATCACTTAGCTTTTATCCATGTTTTTTCACTGAGTTTAGCAGCTGGTAATGCAGTTAACATTTAATTTCTACAGGGGTAAAAGTGGGAACTTGGGAGAAAAAAAACCCCAATACTTGTGACCCAAACGGACCTTGTTAATGACAGAGACATGGGGTGGGAAAGGAAGGGACAAGAAGAGATACTCTTGTCCAAGAAAACTGAAAGTATTTTTATATATATATCCAAAATACTGGAAGTATTATATATATATATTTCCTGTCCTGGAAATCCAATACAAAGCATAGTTAAGACACAGCTCCCATCAGATCCAGTTCTTGGGGGTGGGGAGTCTCCTGGGCTTAAAGGAAAGGAAAGTAGGTTTCTAGGTGCAATTGTCCATAATGAATGAACAGGTCATCTGTTCCTGTTATCTCCTGTTAGAATATTTTTGGGGTGGGTTTCCCCTTCCTTTTGGGTAATTGAGCCCTGCCTGGAAGCCTGGCAGGGAACTGAAACCCTGGCCTCATGCATCCCCAAATGGCAGGAACCCCCGGCCCTTATACTACCCTCTTCCAAGCTTGGGATTCTAGGAACCTCCCTGCTATTTCTGATAGAAATTCCTGCACCAAAGGTCAGATTTTTTTTTCCCCCTCTCATGGTGGTATGCCTGTTGGCAGAGGTGGGAGCAGAGTGAAGGAATGGAGGAGGGGGAAGCTTAGGGGTGGCTCCCAGACATTTCCGTGGAAGGAGGGCCTGGTTTAAAACTGTAGCCCTTAATGCCCGGGGTCTATCAAAGAGCCTCAGATCTTCCAGATTCTGGTCATACTAATCTCACTTTCCTAAAAACCTTCTAGTATCACCCAGCATATAAATGGCTATGTGGCTGTCTGTTGTAAAGAACTTGGTGGTGTCCTGTGGGTCTGCTGCCCACTAGCTCCTAACCATTATTATGGTGAATATCCATGTCAGGCACTGGTTAAGCTCGACTTTTGGGCCAAAACTAGTTTGTTTGTTTAATAACATCTTCTTGGAATACAACCATGCTCATTCATTTATATACTGTCCAAGTCTGTTTCAGGCTATGATGACACAGGTGAATCTTTGCTATAGACATGATAAGGCCTCCAGAATAAAAAATATTTACTATTTGACCCTTTCCAAAAAAAGTTTGCTGAGCCCTGATCTACGTATAAAGACTGAGTATAAGCTAATGACTGTAACTGGGAAGTCAAATTATGAAATCCATAGATCACTGTTGGTCCCACTCAGGCTAACCATTTGTTTTAAGTATCACAGACTTGATAAAGCTTTCAACACCCACAAGCAAATAGGAAAATGAAATAAACTTCCCCAGATTTTCACACATTGAGCTCAGATATTTTTCTCAGTTGGGATATCTACTCAGTTGTTGGTTTGACTTACAGTGAGAAATGCTTATCCTTCATAATTTTATCATTCATAATAAAACTCACATCTGGATTCTAATCTTTATTAATTGCTTCCTGCTATTAATAATAGCCCTTTCCTCTGACCAATGAATGTTTGAGATGTCTTATTTAGACACTCCTAGTTCCCTAATTGTTTCTGTTTTGACTTTAACTTTCTATTAGTGCTAAGTTCCTTTTTGTTTTGTAAGGCGGCGTGTGCCCATCAACCACTAGCTCAGTGCACTAAGGCATCTTCAACATACTCCTGAATTTCCACCCACTCTGTGTCTATGTTTGACTAGGAACCACTCAGAAACTTTGATTTTACAGCATCTATTATTTAGTTAAACAAGCCAAGAAGATCATCTTGTAATCATCTTCCCAAAAGACTAAATAGAAACGTTTTTAAGACAATGACATTTAAAGCACATGCCTTACTTCTAACTCCAGCAAGCTCATACCAACATTCTCTAATGTCGCACGTGAATAGTTATGGTGATATGCACAGAGAGAGAAAAACCAGCCATCAGGGTAAGGGAGGTACAGGTGTGTTTGGTTATACAGGTGCAAGGAGAGGCACAGAAGGTGAGTGCTGCAGCTGATTGACCCAGAGTTGAGACCATAGGGAGCAGACACTGGGTCCAGGCAAAGAGTATTTCTGCCTGGAAGCGGGCTAGTCACCGCTGGGGGACTTCTCTTCTTCACTGTTCTTCACTGTCAGGTAGTAGATGCGGTTGGCCTCTGGGTAGGTGACTTTGCTGAGTGGGAGCTTATAGATGGCAGGGTTGCTGGTTGTCAGGAGCAGGAAGATGAGGGTGGAGAGGCAGAAGGCCCAGGTGCCTGATGGCACACCAACCTGGAAGCAAAAGCACTGGGGTCTGAAAATGGTCCTAGGTTCCAGGGACCCTGGGGGAGAAGGATGGGGATCCTTCTCTACTGACGACATTGGTTTTTAGGTTCATGATATCAGAGTAGTTTGGTCTAGGAATTTGAGATATTGGTACCTTTGGGCACTTATAACGATGGAGTTAAAAATCAGCCTAGGTATGACTTCCCACATCCAGCCACACACAAGTACCTCCATTTGTCCATCTAGGTTCTCCACTTCTGGTTACACCACTCTTTTGTGCACACACACAGCCGCCTCCAACACACCTCAGAGGCACATACATTGCAATTTCCAGTCCCTCTCTGGGTGTTTGTCCTGGATAAACCTTGACAAAGGCATTGTGTGGGTACAAGCTTCCAGAATGCACTCAGGGTTCTTCCACAAACCGCAAATGTCCTAAAACCCTGCCTGGGACAGGCACGTTTAGGAGAATCCAAACTTACCACCGACATTATGTTGGAGAGGGCTGCTCCCATGTATGCACAGAACAGGGCTGTGGAAAAACAAGGACCATGGAGTCAGCTTCCCAGGGATTGCCCCCACCTATTCCCAAGGGAAGGGGTCTCATCCTGTCTCCATCAGCCTCGATGTCTCACCACACCCTGAAATCTGACATATTAGCCTGACATTATTTTGGTAGTTTTCTTTGCATGTAGGTGTGGCCAATCTCCCACCAGACTGTGTGTTCTGAGGGCAGAGATTAAAGCTTTCTATGTCCTCCCCACTTCCATGGTGGCCTTGCATACAGTCAGGGGTCAGTAAGCATCTTTTGCTTGTCCACACTGACCTTGGGGATGGGTGTATTGTTATCTGTCCTAGGGATGAGTGGTCAGACTATCTGAGCCCCCAACAAGGCCCTCCCATCCAAGATTCTGAGCGACTATGATAGAGCCTGTTGGATCTGCACCAAACCTCACCAGATCTGGACCTTACTGGTCCATGAGCTATCCCTAGGATCCAGGCATTTGGGTTCACTCTAGGTTGTGGCCCCCAGGACAGGTAGGGGAGCTCAACCACACCCCTGTGCCTCTGGATAAGAAGCTTCTTCTGCCCCTTCACTTTTGCTCTTTCTGTCCCTCTGACCAGAACACCTTCTCCCCCCCACCTCTATGTACCAAATTCACACCCTGGAAGTGTTGAGATAAACCCCATCCTCCCCCCAAATCCTTCCCAGACCGTTCTAGCCACAGGAATCTGTCACTTCTCCAAAGGCCAAAGGAGTTACAATCTTAGCTTCAAAACATCTGGTACTTTTGACTTGACAGATATTTACCAAGCCCACTGTCTCCCTCCTGGCTGCTGAGGGAAATACAAGAGACATACATGGAAGTCACTTACCGTCTCCACATATGAGTGGGGAAAAAGTTCTGGAATGTTATTCTGCCCTTTACTTGTCTCCAGTTTTGCTTATTAAAGTCCTGCTATTTCTGGAGAATATAAGCAACTCCAGGGCAGGAAGACTGGTTTGAACCTAGCTTCTGCCCTCAATAGCTATGCTCTAGATTACATTCATTAACTTTCTGGGTACCAGGGCTGTATGATGGGCTGACAATCTATGCCTGGTAGTGATTTGGGAGGACTGAGTTCGTATGTGGTTCTGGGGTGCAGCTGTCAGAATGCCTGCAGCCCATTTCCCTTAGGACAATGTGCTACTGACTCCCTGGAAATCAAGCTCCCATGTTGTGATTTTCTGACACCTCAGTGCTCCCGGCTATGTCGTCTCACTGGATCTTTCAAATAATCTTTTCAGACATCAGAGCTTTAATGATTGTGTGATTACTGCTCTTTCTCTAGATGTGACTTCATGACAATGTGGTCACCACTGTATCTTCCATGCATAGCTTAGGGTGTGGCACTTCGTTGCGCTCTCTAAAAGGGTGTGGGATGAAAAGTATTACCCTGGAACACTGCCACTAGCACCTGAGGAAATGCATGTGTGATCTCCTTGGAAATTTACAATACTGTGTAAGTGAAAAACAGTAAGCATGGTTGTGATTCCATTTTACAAAAGAGGAACCTCAAGTCCCCACACACAGGTCCTTCTAGAGCTGCTACCGAGTTCCGATTAATTTTCTCCATGGGTTTCACATAACCAAGTAGGGAGGGAAGGAATCACAGAGTGACCTGGTGGACAGCTTCCCCATATACCCACCACAGACAAGAGCCAGCAGGTGTGTCTGCCAGGTGAGGGCGTAGAACATGCCCCCGATGGCGATGCAGGAGAGGACACAGTTGTAGCTCCAGAGGCCCATGTAGATGGTCTCGAAGGGCGTGGCCACCGTCAGGGCTGTGGGACAAAGTGTGATGTTTCTGGCCAGTTCTGAGTCCCAGCACAAAGGCCACCCCTTGGCTGGTGTCAGCTCTCAGGATGGCCTCACTCCTGCTATCCCCTACCTATGCTCCTCCCCCATCCCAGCAAAGGAGCCTCTAGAAATGGCATCTAGTCTTCAGGAAACAGCAACAAGAGAAGAGCAGTGGTTCCCAAACTGGGGTTTGAAGATTTCACACAGAGGTGTGACTACTTTCAGGGTGAAGGGAGGTCAAGGCACTGGGATTCTAGGTATTCCTTACATATTTGGCCAGAGAGGCTGCATTTTTAGCAAGAACCTTTTAAAGAGAAAAAGGTCTGCTTAAATGGTTGAGGAAAAGTATATATGTACACATACAGATGTACACAGGTAGAGAAATAGAAGGGCAGGATGTGAACGACAGGTGAATCAAGCAAAGAGTTTATGGCTGCTTCATGCACCATTTTTATTTTTGTAATTTTTTGATAAATTCAAAATTATTTTGAAATGATTTTTTTAAGTTCTGCTTCCAAGACGTTTTTGAAAAATACTGGAATGAGTCAACAGGATCCTAGTCCTCTGTGCCCAACTCCAACTTCTGGCTCTGCTGTGCACATGCACATATATAAATGCACGTTAATACATAGGCCTACATGTAGAAATATTAAATCACATTTGTCAAATAGGAATACAGTTTTTGAGAAATTGTATTCTAGTTTACTCTAAATTTTGAAGTGCTGGGTCATTTATACTCCTTGGTCTGTCACTGCTCCCCAGCCCGCTGAGCCACCCTCCCTTTCCTCCCACCTCTCAGCTCCCAGGGGTTCAGGTAGCAGGCCAATCATGTCTTCAGCCCCTTGCACCTCCCCACATACCCTGCTGTGGCAGTCTGCTCCCTTTGGAAACTCAAGAAAGGGAAAAATAAGTCTCTACCCCTGACAGTGTTCAAAAGCACTGGTGAAGATAACAAGGCTAGATTATTTGCCCTGTGTAGGGATGGAATGGCCTCAGGAAAATTATCCCAAGGTCCTCCGTGCAGAGAGGGGACCCTGTCCTACCTGCTATCATCCCCACAATAGAGCCAATGGCTGCATGTAGGCAGATGAGTGGCGACGAGATGAACAGAGCCACCAGGAACACGCCGCCTGTCCAGGGATTATCACAGCCATATACCTGGCCGACACCGACGGGGATGGCTTGTAGCAGCTGCAAAGTCAACAGAATACAGGGTCACTGGAGTGTGGGCACAAAATGCAAAGACCAGGCCTTAGGGTCAGGGCAGAGCCATTCCCGGTGGGGGTAATGGGTTGGAACGGGCGGATGGGGGTGCCCTCCAGCGTGGAAGAGATCTTGGGAGGAAGGACATGAGCTGGAACAAATAGCTCCTCACTCCACCACCTAGCAGGCATCTGGCATCTCCCATGCAAAGCTGGGAAGGGCCTCCCAACACAGGTGCTTTTGAGGGACACATGGCTTCTGCTTTGAGAAGGGGAGCTTTGAGGGGACCAGAGAGCTCCTCCTCCCGAGTATGCCATTGGGGGTTTCAGGGCACTAGGGGATTTCCACCAGACCTTCTGAAATCCTACATGTATTCCAGGAATATTAGAAATATTCTAGGCCATGCTGATGATTGATTTCATCAAAGGTCACCCAGATCGTTGGTGGCCAAGGCCAGGCTAGAGCTTCTGATCTTGATCCCTAGCCTATATGTGGTTGCACATTCAGAGCTACCTAGGGTATTGTGGGGCTCTGGGAAGAAGGTGGCATTTCCCCTGCTTGAGGAGAACTTAGCATTACAGAAAGATAATGTGTGCACCATTGGAAAACAGAAGAAAGCCAAACATCCCTGAGTTTGAGAGTCATTTGAGGGTGTAGTAATTGTAGATGGCTAATCGGGGAGTCAGATGGCCCTTTTTCTGCCCAAGCCTAACCATCTACATCTGACAGAGTAGGGCAGGAAGGAGAGGAGGGAGACTAGCAGGCTAGGGAAGAGTACTGGCCCGGAAGCTGAGGGCTCCCGCTCTCAGAGGAGTTCTGCACTAGCTCATGGAATGATGGTGGGCATGTCACTTCCTCACGCAGGGCTCTGGTGCCCTTCTCTGTAACATGAGAAGGCTGTCATAGCAAATGATGTTCCACCTTTAAAATTCTGTAATCTTTGCTCTATTACTGACCTCTATGAGGGCCAGGCTCCTTGATGGCTGGGTACATAATAGGTGCTTAACAAATATGTATTGATTAGCTCAGCAGTTTCCAAACTTTGTTGTACATTGGAATAACCTGGAAATTCTAAAAAAATTGTTTTTGATGACTGGCTCCTCCTTAGACATTGCAATTTACCTGGCAGGGGGCATGACCAGGGCCTTAGGAGATTCCAAAGTGCAGTTGAGTTTGGGGTGCACTGAGTGAGTTACACATGATCTGCTGTAGATGCTGGGAGTTAACGGCACATCTCCCGTTGGGTGAAATTTTGTACTTTTTAACAACCTGATTTAATTATAGAGTCAGTCTGATTTCTTTAGAGAACAGTGTTTGAGGAGTCCTACTGAGCTTTTTAAGCTTTGCCTGTCCTCATCTCTGGATGGGTGGCCTTTCAATCACCAAGCACTGTCTGGGCCAGAGCCTATAGCCTTGTGTCAGAAATGATGGGGGCATGCATTTTATTTAAAGGAACCCCAAGAATGTTCTGTGCCAGTTCAGTGAACTCACCTTAAGTGTGGGGAACCAGCTGAAAATCTACTCAATAAATATTCCGTGACTTCCCAAAGTCTGAGGCAAGCAGGATGCCGAGAAGGCTCCAACTTCCCCCTTCCCTTCTGGGAACACAGCTTTGAAGCTCAAGCAGTCAAGAATGAGAAGAATGAGGGATAAGTAGCCTCGGAACGGAGCCTGGGCTCGGAAAGTGCCTTCCTCTGCTGGGATCCCTATTTTAGGCTGGTGAACTGTGGCCCTGGGGCAGCCCCCCTTCCCTGCACCTGCTCTCCAACACCCTGGGATGAAGGTGTGAAGGGCAGTTGGGTGTGCATGGAAATTTACTGAGCCCTGCCTCCTTCTACTGTCTACTCTGGACAATCCTCTAGTAAAACGACAGGCCAGTTAAACAAAAAGTAAGTCATTCCCATCATTGTTTTAAAGAGGAGGAGGAAAGGGGTGTTGGGACCTGGATGGTGTGGAAGAGAAGGAGCCCACTGTCAGAGTAGTGGTGTGGTGGGTGAGCTGCGGCCTCAGGGTACATGGATTTGCATGCTGCCGCTTTTTGTTCACTTTGAAGATAAACGAGAGGCATCTCTTGCTGTGGCCATCTCCACCCTGCGCCCCTCAGTGCTAGACTGCACAGCCTCGTAAAGTGGGGAGAGTGGGGGGACTCTGTGGCAAATGCCCCTGCGGGGGTCACTGGGACCATGCCTCATGGGTAGGGCTCAGGGACAACAGGTCTGTGCTCTTACAGCAAGGTGCCCAACTGCCCGCTGACGATCACTGACCATCGCCCTCAGAGTTAGAGCTTTGTCTCTGCTCCTGTCCCTGCTGGTTTCCACTTGAGAAGGTGGGCTTTCCCTCTAATGCAGGACTCTGTCTTTTCCATTCTCTTGGATTTAGACCCTAACCCTGACTCCGATCTCCCTCCAGCCCCTGCCCCAGACAAAACTTTGAAAAGACAAAATATTTAAAAAGGTTTTGCATGGTTGGCAGTTAGCGTTTGCACTAGTGGCAGGGTAGACCCTCCTTATCTGATGGCTTCGGGTCTGAGTGTGGCTGGCCCTGGAGGTCCTGAACTGCTCTGTCCACCCGCGAGTGGTGGCCCTGGGGCTGAGCCCCCAGCAGCCCATCTAGCTGATAGGCTCAGCTGGGTGGTGAAGGCTGGGAAAGCAGACTACATAAACAATATTGAGGATGTAGGTTCTATTTGCAAGAATTCAAAAGGCAATCATGGAAACAATATTCTGAATTAACTCTAAACAGCTGAGCTAGAACTAATGGGTGAAAGATGGAGGGGGACAGATTTCTGAGGAAGGTAACGAACACTCTGATACTTCACAGGATCTAACACTTGGTAGACTGCATTGAGAAGCAGAGGGTTTTGCCTCACTGTGTGTGTTCTGGCTGAGGGTGACTGTCCCCCAGGACTAAGTGGGTGATGGGTCAAAGCTTGGGCTCTGTATCAGGCTGTCTATGTTTGGGCACTAGCAGCAGTTTGAGCTTGGGCATCTAACCTTTGAGCCTTAGTTTTCTCATCTGTGAATGGGGATGATGATAGTACTTACAGTATTGGGCTATTAGGAGTGTTAAATAAGTTCAGAAGTCAAGGGCTTGGAATAGTGCCTGATATGTAATAAGTTTGCCTTAGCATTAGCTGTTAGCTATCTCTGTTATTCATGAACAAGGCCAAATTTTACAATTCTGGCTATTTAATTTTGTGTTAGATTTTTATTATGTCCCTTCATCCCCGGTGTCTAGAGATCGGTAGAATAATGAATATGTACATTTGTGATAGTTGGATGTAAAGCAGGGTTTCTCAGCTTCGATACTTACTGACATTTGGGGCTGGATAATTCTTGGTTAGGGGGAGGGCTGTCTTGCGCATAGTAGGATGTTTGGCAGCATCCCTGGCCTCTACCTACTCAATACCAGTAGCACCCTTCCCCCAGTCTAAATTTAAAAAGTATCTGCAGACATCTGCCCTCTTCCCAGGAGGGCAAAGCCCCCCCACCCCCACTGCCTGATTGAGAGTCACTTATATGTAAAGTAGATGAAAATTCATCCATATCTTCTATTGATAAGACCTTTAAAAATCCTAACTTTAAATATTTGTTTTAGTATTTAGAAGTATCTGGTCCTTTCACCCAACCATCCATCTTATTTAGTATTTTTCCCTTAACCCCACCATTCTGTACAATTAACTTAGCACTGATCTGTGCACTCGTTTACTGTCTGTTTCCCTGTATAGAGAGTACACTTCAAAAGGGCAGAGAGGTTGTTGTCTTCTTACTCCCCATGTATTCCTAGTGTCTGATAAAGTGCCCAGCACATATCAGATCTTCAATAAGGGTTTGTTGAAAGAACAGCAGTCCTTCCCTGTCCTATTCTCTGCTATGACCATCATCTGGTAGAGATGTATATGGAGAAGCTGAGAGCCTGGGTAATATACAAACCAGTTATGGGGAAGGTATGTGGTGGAAGCAGGCGGTCTCCACTCATCTGCCATTGGGTGACTTACTAAGGGCATCTCCATCTCTGTCCAGGTGATGTTGGGCACTGAAGACACGGGCTCCACCAGTGTTGTGGGGAAGAAGAGGTTGTAGTGGCCGGTGGCTGCCAGGTATAGGGTTATAGCAATGTTGAAGGGCAGCGTGAAGACAGGGAGGTCCCACTTGCTGAAGATGGAATTCAAGGCACTGGAAAGAACTGGGCTGAAGGTGAGCAAGACAAAGGGTTAATCTGTGCTTATCCTTAGGTCTATATCATCTTGTCTCATCAGCTCTGTCCATGGAGCCCCCCTATCCTTGGCCCAGCCATTTCTGGCTTCTTGGAGACTTCAGTGGTCTATTTATCCGGGACTGGGTATAAGGTGTTCCATTTAAAGTGAATCTTTATGGGACACATTTAAAAAATATTATAATTTATATGCTAGAAATTATACATGAATAGAAAATATAATATCTGAATAGAAAACTTTATAATTTAAAGATTTCCTTGTTTCTTAAACCAAGAAAACTAAACAAAATTTAATCCTTAGAAAATATTGTTTATTGCCTTGGGATCATCAAGATGTACAACAGCTACTGTCCTGAGCTATGATAACATTTTAGAACCCTGGCCTTGTAGGAGGTAGCTGCTATGGTGCATAGGTAATATGTAGGCTTGATTCAGCTACAGTGCTTTGAGCTACTTTGGAAGCCACCATGTGAAGCTGGAACCTTCAGTTGCTTTCATCCTCTGTCTTCTTGGCCTTTTCCTTGGGAGGAGCATGCATGCTGGAAGGAGACAGAGCTGTGTGCAATTCCTAACTCCTACACTTGCAGGCTGACTGGGCAGCATTAGGATCATGAATCTCCCTGAGCTTTAGTTTCCTCAAAAGGACCAGCCACTGTAGACACTTAACACCCCATGTCTTCCACACTCAAAAAGCTGCTGGGATAAAACATGAAACCATATGATCTGGCTGACTGGTCTACCTTTAATTCATGACCTTCAGTCTTCAATGGGCATTTAAGACTGCCTAAAAACCCTACTACACAACCCATGCAAATTAACTCTCCAACTTGCTGAGACAACTATTTCACATTTTCTCCTTTCTCCTCAAACCTTCACTGTTTGCTTCCTTTAGTTTCAGTAGAGCATCTTGCTTTACTTCATTGAGAGAACAGAAATGATGAGATGAGAAATGCTTCATTTTCCCAACCATAACCTCCACACTCCAATTGTCCAGTTCCCACATAGTCTTTCTCTCTGCCTTTGTCACATAATGAAAGTATCCCTCCTTCTTTATTGGGCCAATTCTTTCCCTTGTACTTCAAGATCCAATCTGTCTCAAAGACTTCACTCTTGCAATTCTCTCCTCTCTCTCCTACAGTTTCAGTCTCTCATAAATTTACATAATGCTTTAGTATCTTCTTCCTATTAACACCCTCCTCCTCTAACCCAATGTCCCTTCTGGCTGTTTTGCCCTACTTCCCTGGTCCTCTTCATAACAATTACTCCCCAACAGATTGCTATGCTCAATCTTTCTACCTCCTTTCTTTCCTAAACCCACTCCAATCAGGTGTGCGCTCTCTCCATACCATACAAATAGCTCTTGTCCAATTCAATGACATCTGTCTTACCAAATGCATGGCCATTCCCTGCTCCCTTCATTTGACAGCTCTAGCTGGACTGAAATACTTTCTGTTGGGGCTACCATGACACTGCCCTTTCTTAGCTCTTTTCCTGATTCCCCAGCTGCTCCTTGTCACCTCTTCATGGTTCTTCCTCTTTTCTGACAGTCATCTACATACTGGAATATCCTATGGCTTAGCCTTGGGTCTTCTCTTTATCTTCTTTTTCTGGGTGATATCCTTTAGTCCCATGGACAAAATATCTTCTCTATACTTTTGCCCTCCAAATCTGTGACCATATCACAAAGTTCTGGATTTGTACATCCAGTTACCTTGTTGACATCTCTACTTGATAGTCTATAGCCTAATATGTCCGACAGAACTCTTGATTTGCACTGTCTCCTACCACCAATCCGTTTTTCTTTGTCTTGTCCATCAACCCGGGTGCTCAGGCAAACTATAGGAGTGGACTGAATCTTCTTTTCTTCCCCACCACCCATATTCCACAGCCTCTCATAGAGTCTTGTTGCCTTTACCTTCCTTAAAATACACCCTAAGCCCACTTGTTACCACCTTCCCTTGTCCAGAACACTATCATCTCTCTGTAGGTACCTGGCTCTGCTTCCAGCATCCATTCTAGCTCCAGTTAAAATCCATTCTCCAGAAGGCAAGCAGAGCAATTTGTTTAAATTTAAACCATATCCTATCACATCTCTGCTTAAAACCCTTTAACTACTTCCCATCACAGTTGTAATAAAAATACAAAAGCCTATTGGATCCTCAAAGTGAACAGAGTCTAGCCCTTATTTACTTCTGCCTTTACCTCCTCCATTCCTCTTCATTCACTGGGCATAAGCCCCCACTGGTCTTTTTTCCTGAACACAGGGCCCTCCTCTAGCTGTGGTCTGCACGTGCCAGTGCTGCCACCTGCAATATCCTTTGCTAGATATTCAGATGGCAAGGGCCTTTTATCATTTAAGGGAAAGCACGAATGCCCCTCTTGAAAGTGGCCTTCCCTGACCATTCACATCTGGAGTTCCTCTCTGTCCCACTTGCTGTTTTGCTTTCCTCAAAGCACTTATCAAATCTTGACATGATTTTTTTTTAATTAACTAGCTGAGGACATTACTTCCATCTTTGCCAAAAGGAACATGAGCTCCAAGAGACCATCTCTCGTTCACGAGTATTCCCAGCATCTAGAATAGTCCCTGCGCATAGCAGGCACTCAGCAAATATTTCATGGATAAATCTGGAAAATGGCACCAGTGCTATCTACCTTATGGGCTGGATTTTGGGTATTATATGAATAGATGAGTGAACACACTGGAGTAGAAGCACAGAGCTCAGCCCAGAATTGGGTGCTTGATAGTTTGTCTTTTAAACTGGGAAGTGGGGTGGGAAGTGGGGGCACTGTGGACAAATTTCCACCCAGGGCTGTGTGGCTGCCTAGCTGTGCTGAGAGGCTTAATCTGTTGTTATAAACCAAATGTATGCACGTGAAGACAGGGTCTCCTATGCCTTACATGGGAGCAAATGGGGGACATTGAGGAAATCCCCATATAAATGACTGCTGTAGCTTTTGTCCCAATGGATTCAGAAAGACAGACACCCTAAGAAGAGACATAAATTGCTTAAAATGCTTAATGTAGTAATTTACTTACAAGCACTGCTAAAAAGTAATAAAACAGTACTTAAACTAAATTAAACTAACTGGTTTTAGTAACTCCAGAAACCGAAGAAAGATACGTACTTCTTAGAGATGTTAAAAATTAGTTAGCATGTCTCAGAGCTGGGGGACACAGACTCAGGGACATGGGTCACCTTGGGCTCCTGCCCTTTGGTGATGGCATGCATGCAAGTGATAGCATCAGGTACTACAGACCTGACCACCCCCCCCCCCCCCAGACACAGGTGAGCTGAGCCATAGCACGCCCCTGCTTTCTCAACAAATATTTGCTCCCAAGACCCTTTCTCTTAACTTTTTTATTCTTTTATTAATTAAAAATTTTTTAATGGTTTATTTATTTTTGAAAGAGAGATAGAGACAGGATGAGCAGGGGAGGGTCAGAGAGAGAGGGAGACACTGAATCTGAAGACTGGCTCCAGGCTCTGAGCTAGCTGTCAGCAAAGAGCCCGACATGGGGCTCGAACCCAGGAACCATGAGATTGTGACCTGAGCTGAAGTTGGACACTTAACCGACTGAGCCACCCAGGCGCCCCTAACTTTTTTATTCTTTTGCAGAATGAGGTGATTGCATAGCAAGATCTCAACTGATGTTTCCTGTCCAAAGATCCTGTGCTTTCACTATAGACATTCTGCTCCCAGAGAGCTCTGATTCTATCACAAGCGAGGTTTTAGCTTTTCCATCTTGCTCAGGCCATGGTTTAGATGAATTCCATTTAGCCTGGAATTTAATAGTTGCAGACTCTGGGTTCATCATCAAAAACTTTGTAAAAGTATGGCCTGGGGCAAGTTACTTAACCTCTTCACAACTTGTTCTTTCCTTCTGTAAACTGGGGACAATAACCCTAACTGGGTGAGCATGGTGCCTGGCTTATAGGAAATACTCAATAAATGTTGGTCTTGTATTATTAAACCTAGCATTCAAGGAAGATTATTAGCACAATAAAAAACCTGTTTTCATGGATGCTCTAAAGGGTCTGTTATTCCAAAATAAAAAAAATGATCTGCTGTGTTACAGTCAAATTCATGGATTTTCACCGTCTCTTGTGTGACAAGCCAGCCTGACTATGAAGACACGAGGTTCCAGGAGGGTACGTGCCCCCGTCCAGTGTAAGATGCAAGCACCACGGGGCCCTATGGGTCTGTGAGCATAAAGAAGGAGGCGTCTCACCAGGTCATGGCTGTGAAGATCACAGGAAACAGAAGCCACCAGTAATAGTCTAACTTCTCGGAGAAGACAGCTATCAGTAGTCCGACCAGCATCCCGTTGTACCCATGGAGGCCTGAGGCAATGGCGGACCTGGTGGGGGTAGTTACATTGCATTTGAATTTGGTGGGGCTTATAGGGCCCTCCCTGGTACTCCCAGAGGAAAGTCAGCTTACTCCTGAATGTGGGCAGTCACACAGCTGCTAGCACCTTCCTAGATCCAACACACACATGCGTGTACACAGACAGTCCTGATAACCCTGCCGTTCTGTTTAAATTCTTCTGAATTAAAGTATGCATTTTGTCTTCTCACTGCATCTGAGCTCCCCCTTTGCTTTTCTGGAGTCTCAGACTGCTAAGTGTAGTGGGAGATCTAATAGAGACCTGAGGTATGACACCAGGGAAAGTGTGTGTGTGTGTGTGTGTGTGTGTGTGTGTGTGTGTAGGAGACAGGGAGAAGGGGAGGGAGAGACAGGGGAGGAGAGAGTGTATCTGACTGCACTGTGTGAAGCTGTAATTGTTGCAGTTGGCCTGTGTCCCAGAGCGGACAAGCTGAGCCCACTAGGGATGCACACAAGCCTCTCCCCACAGTAGGGCAGGGAGGGGCCCAGAAGTGGGGAGAATCCAAGCTTGAATCTATCCTTTCTTTTTGTTTCATCAGGGAAGCCTATGTGTGCCTAAACTTCTCTCCCTGATGTTTAATAAACACTGCCCTTCTGCCCTTGACCCTTCCCATGGCTCAGCTGGCCGGGGGATGGGGAACGGGGTGAAGGAGGGGCTGGGCAAGTCACTGCAAGACCCCTCCCAGAGCATGAGCTTTGTGTGCTGTGCTCTGTCCTTCTGCCCTTGACTGTAAGTTGTCCAGGCTGGAACTTGTCTGTCTGACGTTGGTGTAACAGATAATGGTGTCTGGTGCATGTAGGGCTCTAGGCCTCGCTTAGTTGTTGAATGGGTGTGTGTATGCACGCTAAAGCTTTTCACAGACTGACTGTCCTTGCCCAGCAGGGGCATCTGGAAGCCCAAGGAGGGAGGAAGGGTGCCCTGGCTTAGAGGATGGCTCCTGCCTGGCAGAGGCCATGGCTTGGGTCTGGAATGAGGGGAGCTTTCAGCTCTAGAGTGGCCAGGAGATCAGCTCAGCTAGACTGGGGAGGGTGGGAGCAGCTGGAGGGCGGGAGGGGGTGTCTCTAGACAGTTTCCAACAAGAAAAGCCGAACATATGGCACTTGTGTGGGGACACTTGTATGGGACATCAGATAGTGGGATGGCTGCTCCCAGGCCATGAACATATGGAGCAGCTGGAGACTGGGGAGGGGGGAGGGGATTTGAGGAAGGAGTTTGAGGGGCATGGAAGAGTGGCTGGGAGGGAAGACCACTGGGGTTTGGTTTGGAATCTATCTCCTTGAGACTAGAAAAATCTACCCAAAAAGCAGAAACCCATGTTTTGGGAAAATAATTAATTTTAAGTGTGTGTGCATTTTATCTATATTTTCCCATTTTGGTTTGGTCTTAGAATTTAGTACTTTTTTGGCTTTAATACCAGTTGCTTCAGGTAAGCTGAGCAAAAATGGCTGACCCATACTGGGGGCTGTCTTATAGCCCCAGTGGTAGGGTGCAGTGGGCATAGCAGGAATCAAACAAGAGAGCCCAGGGGAGACAAAATTAGAGTCCCTCCCTGTGGAAGTTCCCTCCCAGAACACTTCTCTACCAAAACTTTGGTGGCTTCTGGATTTGGCTGTCAGAATGAAACCCATTACCTTACATCTTCTCTATCAAATATGTAAAGTTCAGTTTAACCCAATGCCAAAAAACTGTCATTAGGACCACATTTCATCAGGACACTGCAGCATTAGTGTTGCTGACCCTGAGTTACTCTCTGTGAGGTACAGTAGTGGGGGTAGGGAGCAGGGATAAGGGTGGGGCGTGGGCTGATGGAGGAGGAGGAGAGAGGACTGGTGGACAGGAAGTAGAGGTGGTCGGGGAACAGGGATAGGGGAATAGGGGTGGTAGAGAGGATGGTGGGGATTATGTTTAGAACATGTAGCTGTGTCAGTGATTTGCTGGGGACAGTGGTGAAGTCAGGGCTCCTTGGAAGGATTTGTGTGGATATTATGTAGGGTGTCTAGAGCTTTGAACCTATGGTGTAGAACATGGTACTGACCTGCCACAATAAATCTTTTCTTGACACAGTAGTAGAATATGAAACATTCAAAATGCGCTTCCTGTACTGAACATGTTTAGAACACAGCCAGGGAGAGAAGTCTCAGAAAGTAATTAGACAGCCATCCCATATAGTACCGGGGTATGCTCTGTGGTTGTCCAGTGAGAAAGGAGAGTTCAGAGAGTACTGGAATAATCAGGGGTGGCTCCCTGTAGAAGGAGGACTTGAAGAAATGGTAGGATTAGATAGATAGAAGCAAAAATGCTCAGGAGGGAACAGTGTGATGCTGAGTAGTAGATGTGGTAGGGCCCAGCAGAGAAAGCTCTGGAAGCCATACTGGTGCAGACTAGTCTTACTAAAATGTCTGGGAGGATTAGGCAGGCATGGTATAATGGAGGGGAAGTACTTGCCCAAGGTCACATAGCTAAGGAGGTGGTGTGCTGGACAGAGCTCACCCTAGGTGAGTTTTGCGAAACAGTGATGAAGCGGTGAGACAAGAGTTAATCTTGTCAGGGGCCAGTTCTATGCCAGCTGCCCATGAGATGACAAGTAACTGGAAACAAGGAACAGGGAATCTACTGGCTGAAAGAGAGACACAAAATCCTGGCTGGAGCCCATTTTTTATGTCACTCACCAGACCTGCACACAAAAGATCAGCCTCTCTCTTATCCAATTTGGGATGGCCTCCTGGCTTGCTGGAATCAGAGTGCTCCCCCAAAGCCACCTTGGAGGTGCATGAATGGCTTCTCTGGTTAGACAAGCCGACTCACAAATTTGCTCTGCTGGCATGTGGACTGTGAGGTAGGCCTGGGGAAGTGTGATGTTGGGCACAACACAACCAGCTCTGATGACTCCCCATGCCCTGTGCTCACAAGGGCTCCTCTGGCCTTGCCGTCCCCTCTGTCTGTGTGACAGGGACAGTAATGACCCTCAGCCTAGAAGACGCAAGCCTTGTGCCGCAGCCTGAGCCCTGCCACCCACTGACTGTGGCACCTTAGGTGAATATGTGCTCCTCCAGTCTTTCTCTTACCTTTGCTGTCTGCCTGGTGATGTGACGGCAAGACTCACATGTAACAAGGCATGACTGTGCTTTTCAATCTTTTTTGACAGTAACCCGCGGTAAGGAGGGAATAGATTTGATAGCATGACCCAGTTCTCTCTCTCTGTCCCTCTAACAGTGCCCATCCCCTAAATACACAACACATCCTGACATTAATGAAACAAAAATGTTACAAAATATTTCCTACACATGAATTACTCTAATCTGTTTTTATTTTATTCTATTATTTTAATTTTTAACGATGCTGTAGCCAATTGATTCATGATCCACAAATGGATGGGTGACCTAAAAATTGAAAAACACTAAAAATATGGGCATTCCCAAACTTCTCCGATCATCAGAAGCATCCAGGAGGATCTTGTTAAAAACATCCCCTCCCTACATCCAGATGGCCAACAGACACATGAAACGATGCTCAGCATCCCTCCTCATCAGGGAAATACAAATCAAAACTACACTGAGATACCACCTCACACCAGTCAGTGTGGCTAAAATGAGCAAATCAGAGAACTCTAGATGCTGGCGAGGATGTGGAGAAACGGGCACCCTCTTGCACTGTTGGTGGGAATGTAAACTGGTGCAGCCCCTCTGGAAAACAGTGTGGGGGTTCCTCAGGAAATTAACAACAGAACTCCCCTATGACCCAGCAATAGCACTGCTAGGAATTTACCCAAAGGATACAGGAGTGTTGATGCCTAGGGGCACATGTACCCCAATGTTCATAGCAGCACTCTCAACAGTAGCCAAAACATGGAAAGAGCCTAAGCGTCCATCAACTGACGAATGGATCAAGAAGATGGGGTTTATCTATACAACAGAATGCTACATGGCAATGAGAAAGAATGAAATCTGGCCATGTGTAGCAACATGAATGGACCTTGAGGGTGTTATGCTGAGCGAAATAAGTCAGGCAGAGAAGGACAAATACCATATGTTTGCACATATAGGAGGATTAGGAGGAACTTAACTGAGGGACAAGGGGGAGAAGAAGGGGGAAATGGTGGGGGAAAGGGAGAGAGGCAAACCCTGAGAGACTCTTGAATGCTGACAAAAACTGAGGACTGATGGATGTGGGGGGTAGGGGGGATGGGCATGGAGGAGGGCACTTGTGGGGATGAGCACTGGGTGTTATGTGGAAACTAATTTGACAATAAACTATTTGTAAAAAAATAAATAAATAAATAAATAAAAATTCTAAAAAAAAAAAAAAAAATCCCCTCCCAGACCCACTGAATGGGACTATCTGAGGGAACAGAAGTGGCTGGGGCTGAAGAAATCACATTTCTTAACAGCCAGCCCCAGTGACTCTAGCCATCAGGAAAGTTTGGGAATTTTTGGAACAGCATGGGGCAAAGTCTGAGGAAATGGTCCAGTTCCAGAAAATGCTACTTGTTATTGTTCCTGGACCTTGTGGCCACCAGGGCAGGGTCGGTTGGGCGGGGGGAGGCTCCTTTAGCGGTCTCTGGCCTCTGCACTGTCCTTCCCACTCTACTTTCCTCATCTCTCCAGATCCTATGTTTCCAGCTCAAAGGCCATCCTCTCTCATCCCACAGCTGCCACCCCGCCCAACACGCTGACGTCTGTCTTTTCTGAGCTCTCTGGCATATACCATCTCATATTATTCTGGGACATTTCTTGCCTGTTAGTCAACTAGATTGTAGGCTCCATAAACGAAGAGCAGTTTGAGAGTTCCTTGGCACCTGCCTCACAGGGAATGTTTCCAGAAGGATCTACAGTCAAAAGAAGCCTAGTGCTGTCACTTGCTTCGAGCCAGAGTCGTTTAATTCTGCAGAGACCTCCAGTGACCTGTTCAAAGTTGATCTTCAGGAGACTTCAGGCTGGTTGGTAGGATAAGGTTGGCTGATCACTCAGGGAAACACTTCTCTACTTGTCTAACCTCAGACCCCACAAGCACCACAGACAGGCACCCACCTGTCCTGGTTCAAGGCGAGGGCAGTTAAGGTTGAGACCACTGCCCCCAAACCCCCAGCAATTGTCCACCAGGGATTCTGGATCAGAAGCCCTATGAAGATGATGAATCCGCTGAGAGGGTTGTTGACAAACATCACCTGAGCAGTGCCCCTCAGGACCCAGTCTGTGACCTGGAGGGCCAGTGGCTTATCTGAAAGAGACAGGCAGAGTCATCAGCAGGGTCCGGGCTGTGCTTCCCTGCTGGACCACTAGTTGGCGTGGCAACCAAGGCAAACAGGGATGCATGAGCCAGGACATTTCCTCTCGTTTGGCCTGGCACCCAGCCCGAGTCTCTGAGTGGCAAGGCAATCAGTCCACAGTGGGTGTTAGTTTTTGCCGTACAGACTGAGCATCGTGCTAAGACCAATTTAACGCCGTTCCAGCCCTCGGCTTGGTTGGCAAGGAAGCCTCAGGAGCATTCCAAGGGAAATTTATTGGTCCAAGGGAAGGAGTAAGGAGGGAGGGAAACCCTCTTTTTGTGTTGTGTCGTATGACTCAGTTGAGAACTGGTTATCTGAGCAGCAAAGAAAGTCGTCTGGAGAAAAGGAGCTGGAAAGGAAATGGCTTTAGCCCAGCTGTGGAACAGGTACTGAGTTAGGACCCGGGGGAAGCCAGGTCAAGAAGAGGGGACATACATTCTGGTTTGGTTTCCAGGGCAGCCTCTGCAGGTGTGAGTGGGGAGGGAAGGGCTGTTTGCTGCAGTATTTAGTTGAGGGAAACTAGAAGAAGGACTTTGAAAGGAAAGGAAGAGCCTTGGAACATGGGGAGGGCGATGTCCTCCTTGGCATATAATAAATGGTCATGTTACAAGGGAAGGAATGACCATTCAGCTTGTTTGGGAAATGGCTTATATACCACTAAGTGGTTGCCCCGTATCTATTCCACACAGGGTTGAAGAATTTGCAAAGCACAAAAATCAGTGAAGTGCATTTAATTCTGAAACCCCTTGGGAATCCCAAGTTTGTAGGGTACATTGGACCCACCCAGAGCTAACTCAGGGAGGGAGCTCTTCAACTGTGGGAGTGAGGGAGCAGCTTCCTCCACCCATGCCTAAGGGTGGGCTGTCTCCCTGGGCCCACCTGGCTGCTTCTTTCCTGGGACTTTGCCTACCTTTCAGCCAGCTCCTGCACTCCTTCATGTCCCCTGTGAGGTAGCCCACTGCTTGGAAGAGGCTGATGCCTCCCAAGCCTGCAGAGCCCCGAAGGGCTGCCCCACTTTCTCTCCTTTTACTCCTTTCATTGGGTTTTTCCATTTTCACAATATGGCTGTCTTCATTGGATGACCGCAGATCCTTTTAAAAGAAACCATGACAAACTATCAAATAATACAGCTTTTTGAGAGCAGAGGCACTCAGGGATAGGGAAGGGTGTCAGGTGTCCTGATAAAGATAAATGATCCTAAGACACGTGTCTATTCTCTTTTGTGGTCTGGAGTGCTGCACACAGGCCAGCTCCTCCCTAGACCACTACATGTTCTTCACAGCCGGTTTCAGAGACTTTTGTGCCATGGATCCCTGCTGGCAGTTTGGCAACGCTGTGGGCTTCTCTCCAGAATAATGTTTGGAAATGAATAAAATAAATAGTACAGCAAAGAAAGTCTGTCATATTGAATCAGTTATTACAATACTAACAAAAAAAAATCCTGTGATATATATTTAGGTACTACTGGTCCAATACCTATTATAATTTCAAAGTAGCAGCGAGTGAATAAGTGGGGCCTCTTCACTCCAACTCAGAACAACTTTAAAGGGCTGCCTGAGATCCAGAGCTGACCGTAGGGTCACCTGTGGCCTTTATTGCCCAACTTCTTCTGCTTAATCCTGTTGCCCTTCCTCCACTACAAGTATTGACTGGAAAGGCACATCCCAATAAACTTCTTACATGAAAATCACCATCTCAAAGTCAGCCTTCTAGGGGATCCCAATCTGTGACAATGACAACAATCTCAGGTGCTAGTGATACGGCTATAGTTCATTATCTATATTTATAATTGAAGTGAGTGCTAAAGTTCATTGGTGGTTAGTGAAATAAAGATAAATTATCTTCCCCATCCAAGTCTATCCACCCTTGATTCTATCTGTGGGCTCCTTGCTCTTAAACTGCGTTGTCCATTATCATAGCCAATAGGACACATGGCTTTTGAACATTTAAAATGTGGCTAATCTGAATTGAGAAGTGCTCTAAGTGTATTCTGAAGACTTACTATGAAAAAAGAATGTGTGATTATATCTCAACAATACTTTATACTGATTATATAATGAAGTAATAGTACTGTCTTTTCATATATAGTAGGCTAAATAAAATACAGTATTAAAATTAATTTTGCCTGCTTCTTTTTACTTCTAAAAAATGTGGTTAATAGACATTTAAACAAACGTGTGGCTCACATTATTATTATCTTTTTAATGTTTTATTTATTTCTAGGAGAGAGAGAGCGTGAGCAGGGGAGGGTCAGAGAGAGAGGGAGTCACAGACTGACACAGGCTCCAGGCTCTGAGCTGGCAGTCAGCACAGAGCCCAACGCGGGGCTCGAACCCATGAACTGCGAGATCATGACCTAAGCGAAAGTCGGACGCTTAACCGACTAAGCCACCCAGGCGCCCCATTCTCACATTATATTTCTATAGTATGCTGAAGGTCTATAGATTTTCCCAACCTCCTCCCTACATCAAAACTTGAATGTCTTGAGGATATCAGTGAAAATGGTGGAGTAAGGACCTCCAAAAATTCTCTCTTCCATAAAGGCAACACACAGTCTTTTCTAGTGCACATGGAACCTTCTCCAGTATAGACCATATGTTAGGCCATAAGTAAAACATTTTTACTGATTAAAAGGTATCACTAAATTTAAAGGTACTGAAATCATACAAAGTATGTTCTCTGACCATAATGGAGAGAATTGAGAAATCAAAAGCAGAAGGAAATTTGGGAAATGATGTGGCAGTGAAATAATACACTCCTAATTATCAATGGATCAAAAAGGAAATCAGAAGAGAAATTAGGAACTACTTTAAGATGAATGAAAACAAAACTTATGGAATGCAGCTAAATCAGTGTTAGAGGAAACTGTAAGTATATAAAGACCTATGTTAAAAAGGGAAATACCGTGTATCAACAACTTGACCTTCCACTTTAAGAAACTAGAAAAATAACAGTGAACTAAACCCGAAGCAAGTAGAATGAAGGAACTAATAAAGATTATCATGAAAATAAATGAAATAGGGAAGAAAAAATACAGAAAATCAATGAAACTAAAAGATGGTTCTTTTTTTTAAAGACTTAATTTTTTTTTAAATAGTTTATTGTCAAGTTGGTTTACATATAACACCCAGTGCTCATTCCAACAAAAAGATGGGTCTTTATAAAGGTCAAAATTGACAAACTTTTAGCTAGGTTTTCAAACCTAATTTTCAAACTTTTTGACCAAGACAAAAAGAGAAGATTGAAATTACCAGATCAGAAATGAGAGAGGAGACATTACTACCAACCTTTAAGAAATAAAAAGCGTTCGTGTGCATGGGTGGTTCAGGAAGTTAAGTGTTGACTCTTGATTTCAGCTCAGGTCATGATTTCACAATTCGTGGGATCGAGCCCTGCATCAGGCTCTGTGTTGATAGTGAGGAGACTGCTTGAGAGTCTCTCTCTCTCCCTTTCTCTTTGCCCCTCCCCCTCACACACTCTCTCCCTCTCTCAAAATATATAAACATTAAAAAAAAAACTTAAAAAAGGTTATAAGGAAACGGATAATTGTATGCTAACAAATCAGATAACCTACATGAACTGGATACGTTCCTAGAAAGGCAAAAACCACCAAAGTTCTGACTCAAGAAGAAACATAAAATCTGAGCTGACTTATAACAAAGTAAATTATTACATTAGTAAAACAATAACAAAAACAACAAACAAAACACTTCCCACAAAGAAAAGCCCAAGTTCAGATGGCTGTACATTCTACCAAATCTTTAAAGAATTAATAACAGTATTTTTCAAAAAACAGAAGAGAAGGCAACACTTCTTACCACATTCTGTGGGGCTAGTATTATCCTAACACCAAAGCCAGACAAAGACATCACACAAAGAAAATTACACATCAATCTGCTTTATAAATATAGATGCAAAAATCCTTAACAAAACACTACCAGGCTAGATTTGGTAGCATATAAAAAGAATGAAGGCCAAGAGGGATTTATTCTCAGAATTTCAAGACTGTTGCAATGTATAAAGATCAATCAATAATTATTAATATTGAAAGAATAAAAGAAAACACCCACATGATTATTTCAATAGACACAGAAAAACCACTTGAAAAATTCAACAACTTTTCCTGATAAAAACATTCAACAAACCAGGAATAGAAAGGAAATTCCTCAGCTTAATAAAGGATATCTACTAAAAACCCACAGTTAATATTATATGTAATGGTGAAAGATGGGATGCTTTCTCTTTAAGATCAGTAAGGAGACTATGATGTTGGTTCTCTTGTCACTTCAATTTAACAATGTAGTGCAAATTTTGGCCAGAGCAATTAGGTAAGAGAAAACAAACCAAAAGGGACCCAGATTGGAAAGAAAGGATTTAAAACATCTCCATTTGCAGATGGCACATTCTGCTATATGGAAACTCCTTAAAAAAATCTTCAAACCTACCCCCATCCGCACTTCACAAGCCTGTTAAAGTTATTGGGCAAGTTCAGCAAGTCTACTGGAGAGAAGATCAACATACAAAAATCGATTTTATTTTTATGCATGGGCAATAAACAATCCAAAAATATTATGAAGAAAATTCTATTTATGGTAGTATGAAAAGGAATAAAATATTTTGGAATAAATTTAACAAAAAAGCCTTTATATCCTAAACTAAAGGTTTTATATGAGTTTCTTACACTAAAAACTATAAAAAATAAAAAGGAATTAAAGACTTAAGTAAATGGAAATATATCCTATGTCCATGGATTGGAAGAGTTAATCTTGTTAAAAAATGGCAATACTCCTCAAATTGATCTATAGATTTAATACAATCTATATCAAAATCCCAGTTGCATTTTTATTTAGAAATTCAAAGTCAGATCCTAAAATTAATATGGAAATTTGGGGGTCTCAGAACAGATAAAACAATCTTGAAAAGGAAGAACAAAAGTTGGAAGCTCACACTCGATTTCAAAACTTACTACAAAGCTACAGTAATCAAGATGGCATGGTGCTGGCATAAGGACAGAAATATAAATCAGTTAAATAAAATTGTGAGTCTAGAAATAAACCCATACACCTATAGTCAGTTGAGTTTTTGATGGGAGTGTCAAAACAGCTCAATGGAGAGAGAACAGCCTTTTCAGTAAATGACTTGGGACAACTGGATAATTGGACCTCTACTTCACACCACATATAAAAATTAACTCCCAATGGATTAAAGACTTACATGTAAGTGCTAAAATTATAAAACTGTTAGCTAAAAACATAGAAGTAAATCTTTGTGACCTGGGCAAGAAAATGTTTTCTTAAGGGTGCCTGGGTGGCTCAGTCAGTTAAGTGTCTGACTTCGGCTCAGGTCATGATCTCATGGTTCATGGGTTCAAGCCCTGCACTGGACTCTGTGCTGACAGCCAGCTCAGAGCCTGGAGCCTGTTTTGGATTCTGTATCTCCTTCTCTCTCTGACCCTTCCCTGCTCATGCTCTCTCTCTCTCTCTCTCTCTCTCTCTCTCAGAAATAAATAAAACATTTAAAAAATTTAAAAAAAAAAGAAAATGTTTTCTTAGATACGACACCAAATACATACACAATCAAAGTCAAAAGAGATAAATTGGACCTAGAATCACACACTTTGTGCTTCTAAGGACACTATCAAGATAGTGAAAAGACCCACAGAGTGGGAGAAATTAGTTGTGAATCATATAATTGGCAATATATGAGTTCTAATATCAAAATATATACCCAGGATACAATATCTAATATTATATCTATATTATATATAATATACCCATATATATATCCAGGTATTATATCTAATATCCAGAATATATAAAGAACTATTACAACTCCACAATAAAAAGACAAATAATCCAATTGAAAGAAAGGCTGAGGATTTAAGAAGACATTTTTCTGAAGATGGTATACAAGTGGCCATTAAGCACATGAAAGGATGTTCAACATCAATTTGACATTAGGGAAATACCAATCAAAATCACAGTGAGATGTCAGTTCACATCCACCCAGGCTGTAATAAAAAAAAGACAGACTGTAATGAGTTTTGACAAGGAGGTGGACTGGCACAATGTGTGCCTCGCTGGAGAAAATGTACACCTGATGTAACTACTTTGGAAAACTACTTTGGAAAACAGTTTGGCAGCTCCTTAAAATGTTAAACATAGATTTACTATATGACCCAGAAATTCCACTTCTGGACATATACCCAAGAAAAAGAAAAATGTGTATCTGCACAAAAACTTTGACACAAAGCTTCACAGTAGTTTTTTCTTAAACAGGCAAAAAGAAACAACCCAAGTGTCGATCAATGGATGAATGGGTAAGTAGACTATGGTAGACTCATACCATGAAATATTGTTTGGCCATAAAAAGAAATGATGTAGCAATTCATGCTACAATAAGGATGCACTTGAAAACCTTATTCTAAATGACAGAAGCATTTCACAAAAGGCCATATATTATATGATTCTATTTACATGACATGTACAAAACAGGTAAACCCACAGGGACACAGGGTAGATTGGTGACAGCCAGGTGTGGAGGAGGGTGGAATGTGGAGTGACTGCTAATGAGTATTGGGTTTCTTGTCAAGGTGATGAAAGTATTCTGGAGTTCAGTGGTGGTGATGTTGGCAAACTTCGTAACTATGCTAAAAATCAATGAAATGTATACTTTAAAGGGGTGAATTTTATATCTCATTAAAAAATCCCCAAACTTTAGTGGTCCTGAGTCCCTCTCCAGTCTATTAGTTCAAGGAGTGTTAAAAGCTAACATTTAAACACAGGCCTTACCTTGGGAGACAATAAAGTAATTCAAGGGAGCAGGTCTAAGGGGAAAGATTTGGGGGACTGGTGGAAAACCACTGTGTGACTGTGTGCATTCCCTGCCTGCCTCTAAAATCATGTTGCACACACAGAGCCACGTTTTCTATCTTGGGCCCAGTAGGACCAACCAGGGGCTGGGACCCTGCGTTGACTGGGACAGAGCCTCCCCAGGCAGTGACCCTGCCATGGCATTATGCAACTTGTGAATTGGGAAGCTGGGAAAGCAAAATCTTTCATCACCCTTCCTCCCCTTTCCTCCACCTGGGAAACATCCTGGGAGGGACACTCCTCACCTTTTCTTCAGGCATTTCCAGGAGGGGCAGGGCCGGATGTGTATCCTGGGGGCTTGAGGGCCAGCTAGGGCTGGTAAACTCTGACTCATACAGTTTGTATCTGCTGGAAAGAGGCTCTGCCAGGAGAGGCCTGCTGTGAGTGTCAGACATTTCCTTCAGGGGGTGGTCACTCATAGGTCCTGCAAGTGGAAAGGACAGGGGGAGAACAGTAAGTCAGGATGGGGCCCAGGGAGACTTGGCTGAGGCTGCAGGGAGGCCTCAGGAGGCATGCAGTCGGTCCTGATATACTACTTTTGCAGTAGCATGCTGCCAAGAAGCCTGGGGCCATTCCTCCACCATTGTGGCCTTATCTTTCAAATCCCCCCATTCTTCCAAGTCCAGAGGAAAGTCCATTTCTCCCTCGATGAGTTCCCTGACTACCCAGTTAGAACAGATGCCTCTCTTTTTTTCTGATCACTGAAATATTTTCTCTACCTTTTATATTATCCATAGTACTATCTTACTGCTGTAGTTGTAAATATACTTTCTCTTTGATATGCACACATAAATCTGGGGCTTCTAACTGAGTGGGTATCTAAGGGAAACTCCTTTTCTTTTTCTTTTTTTAAAATTAATTTTTAAAAATTTACATCCAAGTTAGTTAGCATATAGTGCAACAATGATTTCAAGAGTAGATTCTTTAATGCTCCTTACCCATTTAGCCCATCCCCCCTCCCATAACTCCTCCAGTAACCCTCTACTTGTTCTTCATATTTACGAGTCTCTTATGTTTTTGTCCCCCTCCCTGTTTTTATATTATTTTTATTTCCCTTCCCTTATGTTCATCTGTTTTGTATCTTAAAGTCCTCATATGAGTGAAGTCATAATATTTGTCTTTCTCTGACTAATTACACTTAGCATGATACCCTCTAGTTCCAGCCATGTAGCTGCAAATGTCAAGATTTCATTCTTTTTGATTGCTGAGTAATACTCCGTTGTGTGTGTGTGTGTGTATATATATATATATGTATATATACACTACATCTTCTTTATCTATTCATTCATTGATGGACATTTGGGCTCTTTCCATATTTTGGCTATTGTCAATAGCTTTGCTATAAACATTGGGGTGCATGTGTCCCTTTGAAACAGCACACCCGTATCCCTTGGATATATACCTAGTAGTGCAATTGCTGGGTCATAGGGTAGTTCTATTTTTAATTTTTTGAGTAATCTCCATACTGTTTTGCAGAGTGGCTGCACGTCAGAATGGCTAATAACATTAACAACTCAGGTCACAACAGATGTTGGCGTGGATGTGGACAAAGAGGCTCTCTTTTGCACTGCTGGTGGGAAGGCAAACTGGGAAACTCCTTTCCTTACTTGCTATGGACCTTACGTTGATTATGGTTGACCTCCAGTCCCCCTTTCTTCCCTCTGCCGTGAGTGCCCTTTCCAGTTCCTTCCTCTTTTTCCTTCCCCAGGAACAGCATGAAGAAGCAGCTGCTCTGGTATAATCTACCAGAAGCTGTGTCCACCAGGTTGGAGGTCCTTCCCCCTGAACGTGGGACTCCTTTTTCCTTCACTACCGGGGCCAGGATTTATGCCAGTACTAGCTGGTGGAGTAACCTCTGCCTACAGTCCTCAGTTTCCTGGTTTACTGTGACTGCCTCCTGGAAATGTGCACTTCTCTCCTTCCTCTTCAAGCCACCTTAGCTGTTCTGTTCTTTGTCTTCCCCTGGCCCAGTTATGTCTTTATTTACTTTACTGTTTCTATGAGACGTGGCTTAGGACCTGCACAGTCCCCTCTCAGTATGATCTAGACTTTTCCACGTGGCTCCATGCTGCCTCCCCTGAGTTTCAAGACAGTGTATCTTAGGACGGTGTCTGCAGGTCCGTCACATGGGTGCTGACATTCCTCACACTTAGCACTGCAGACCCGGATAAAAGATGCAGAGCTCTCTTCTAAAGGGGAACAAGGCCCTTTCCTGTACTAGCATTAGGACAGCCATTTCCCTGGGCTATTTCCTACTCCCAATGAAAGGAATTCTTGTTCTTCACTATTGCTTCCAGACCACTGCTCACCTTGCTGGTGCAGAAAGCCCTCTTCTTTGAGACTTACACTATTCCTCTCACTTCTCAGTGCTGTGTTACTGACTTTCTGGTCATTCACTCCTTAAGTGAAGACTGAGGGGCTCCTTTCTAGTTATCTTCATCTCTACTCCAATAATTTTCAGCAACTTCAATGTCTGTACGTACATTGACATTGACCTCATTGACTTAAGTCATAACCCCATTCTCTGACTTCAAAGGCCCTTGTGTTCCTCATTTCTAGTGACCCTCTCCACCTTTTCTTTTCAGCCACTAATTTCCATGGTCACCACATGGACTCAATCTTACACAAACTATGAAATCTCCAAAGTCTGATTCTCTCCTTTGGACTTGGGGCTCACGTGCTCAAGTGCGTCCACTGATAGCACGTTCACTTCCGGGAAACCTCCAGTCTCTTAGCTCCACCAGCTCCCTATCTTCCCTCCCTTCCTTAACCAACTTAGACTTCGGGGCAGTCACTTTACTTCTTTCAACACCCTTGCTTTGCCCATGCCACTCCCTCTTATGCTTGTGTGGTGAAATCCTGACCAGACTAAACCCAACCCTCTGTCTCTTCTAGGCTTTCATCAAGCAACTGAACATTGCCTGAGAAAAACTACATAACTGGGTAGGCTGCTGTCACTTTAGTTTTATGCTTGCCATCCTCTTGGGTGGACTCCTGGCACTCCCCTTTCTATCTGTGGCCAGCCCAGGCTGGTTTCTGCTGCTATTGCCCTTGCTGTAAGACCTTCACGTTGCCAAATCCGAAACATGCTTTGGTCTTCATCTCATTAGACAGCTCAGGGCATCCACACAGCTGACCATCTCTCCTTGACACACTCTCCTCTTTCTGGCATTTTCATTGATCCTCTCTCTAGTTGCTCTTTCACACTGTCCTTGGCTGGCTTTCCTGTAAATATGAGCATTGTGTTGAGCTCTGTTCTGCACTATTTTCTCTTTACTGATGTTCCTACTCAGCTGACGTCAGCTCTCACTGTGGCTTTATCCTCCATCTGTATACCTATGACTCCCAAATCTAATGTTTCCAGCCCAGTTTTGAGCATTGGATTCACGGATTTAATTGTTTACTTTACACTTGCATGTGGATGTTCCAGAAATAGCATAAAATTAAAGCCTTGAAACAGCTCATATTGTTTCCTTTTCAGATCCTGTCCTCACTGAAAGGTGCCTGTCCCAGGAAAAGTCCTCTTTCCATTCCAAGCTACTCCTTATAATACCTTCCTCTCCTCCCAAAAATCAGTAATTCTACCTCTAAAATATACCTGGATGCCCACTGTCACCATTTGGCTCCCATCACCTCTTGCCATTGCTCCAATAACTCCCAATTGGACACTTGGACCCCTCATTTCTCATATTTATCCTCCATGCCATGTTCCACAGGGCCACCAGTGCTGTCATATCAATACTCAAGTTTGCTCATGCCTGTTTCCTGCTTCAATCCCGTCAATGGCTACTGATGGAAAAATACATCTTAAACATGCACACAGAGCTCAGCACCACCGTGTTCCTGTTATGTGTTAGCCCACCCTGGGTTTCTGCCCCTTGTCTCTGGGTTCCATACTTGCCTCCTTTCAGAGCCTAAGTATCGAGCACTTTCCCTTCAGGGCCTCGGCAAATGCTGGTCTGTCTGCCCATAAGGGCTCTCCCTTGCTCATTATCTAGGAACTCTTCTTCCCTCAAGCATTGTCTCTATTACCACTCATCAGATGAGCCTGGCCAGATCAGCTCCTGACCATGTTCTCCTATCATACTCTCATGGGACCTAGTATCTTTCCTTACAGTGGTTTTTCTTTTTGCACCAAGTGATGATAGGTTTATTTGTATAGTGTATGTCTCTCCACCAGAACTTAAGATGCATGAGGACACTGACCTTCTCTGTTCTGTTTACTGATGAATCCTTAGCTTCTAGCGCAGTGCCTGGCACATAGCAGATGTTCAATAAATAGTTAAATGAGGGAAGGAAGGAGGGGAGGAAGAAAAGGAGGAAGAATAGAAGGCTACAGGTGATTGCTGGAGTGGAAAAACTTTCTTGCAGAACTTTACGAGTCTCCTGAGTCTTGAACAGTTTAAGAACCCATCAGCTCTGCTTTTTATGTGGCAGAAATCTGCCATATCTAACATGTGTCCTCATTCCCCAGAATTGCTCATTTAAACCACAGATGATTTTTACTGTGGGTTTGCATACATCATTCAGAACTTACTAACTCCTCTTTCTGACTGCCATTGCTCTGGAAGAGGGCCCTTTCCTCTATTCTCTCCCTGCAGGTGGAGTTTGAGTATGTTTCAGATTGTCCTGGAGGGAGCATGCTGGAAAGGTTTAGGAGAGAGGGAAAACCAGCAAGCCTGAGAACCAGTGTGCTCTCTCCCTCTGGTGGACAAGAGGTGATACAGCATCCTGACCCATTGGTATAAGGTTGCTTCCAACACATCCAGATGAAAGTGAAGGACAATCTGGTATCTAGACACATGATGTGTTTGACACTATACATCTGGATGAACTAGAAATGTTCTGCAAAGACCTCGTGTTAAATTCAGTGGCTGTGAACTCCTTTAAAAGCACAGTTGAAAAGTGAAATGAAATATATTTCATTAAATCTAAGATGTGATCATCTGTAAGATGATCATTATTTGGTGTATCACCAAGAAGAAAATGCTGCCAATCAAAATTGCAAGATGAATACTGATTTAATAAATGTTAAAATTTGAGAACAATGTATATCATATGGTCAAGGAAGTATTTTTTAGTGATAGGGCTTAAGTATACAGGAGTGGAGAATGGGTACGTTCAGGATTATTTTCTAACCACGACACTTCAAACACTTATATATATTTTTTGATGAAAAAAATGGTTTATACATTATGAGTCCTTTGAGTACAGAGGCTTTATCTTGTTGATTTCTGTATTTGTTCTGCCCGGCAGAGAGCTTGACACATAGTAAGCCTTCAATATGTGTTTAATGATTACAGAATGAATGAGTGACTGTGCGAGGCAAGTACTATCTTTAGAGTCATCTCCAAAAAGGTACCTTATTCTCTACCTCTGAGCCTCTCTTATATGCAGACAACATTTGCAATTACAGATG